CTTACCGGTAAGTATCAAAAGGAAAAGTATTAATAATTTAAAATTCCTTATATTAAGCAAACCAGGCGGCACAAATGTTTTCTTCATTTTTTATTTACGGATAGCCAGGGGCACACTCCATCACTGACATTAATTTACAAACAAAGCATTTGTGTTTAGTGAGTCCGCCAGATCAGAGGCAGTAGGGATGACCAGGGATGTTTTCTTGATGAGTGCATGAATTGGTGTCAGGGAAAATGTATGGAGTAAAAAGTACATTATTTTCTTTAGGAATGTAGTGAAGTAAATGTAAAAGTTGTCAAAAATATAAATAGTAAAGTAAAGTACAACTACCCCAAAAAACGACTTAACCTCTTAAGGATCTAACCCTTTTTCTTTTTTTTTTGCCTAAAACGACATACCCAAATCTAACTGCCTGTAGCTCAGGACCTGAAGCAGGGATATCCATATTCTTGATACCATTTGAAAGGAAACACTTTGAAGTTTGTGGAAATGTGAAATTAATGTAGGAGAATATAAGACATTAGATCTGGTAAAAGATAATACAAACAAAAAAACATGCATTTTTGAATGAAGCGTTGCAATACTGGACTATTTTGTATAAAGTCTGCCCAAATGTGCCGAATTGGTCAATTGATACATTTCCAAGTACATAACTATAGAGAACATACAAAAATGATATGGTAATACAAAATGTAAATTTACACAATCCCAGGAATGTCATACATGATGGATGATTTGCTTATACACTAACTTTCATTTTTACTTAAGTACTTTACACCACTTAAAAAATTGAGCACACAGCCATGCAATCTCTGTAGACAAACATTGGCAGTAGAATGGCCTTACTGAAGAGCTCAGTGACTTTCAACGTGGCACCGTCATAGGATGCCACCTTTCCAACAAGTCAGTTTGTAAAATTTTTGCCCTGCTAGAGCTGCCCCGGTCAACTGTAAGTGCTGTTATTGTGAAGTGGAAACGTCACAAATAAACGGCTCAGCAGCGAAGTAGTAGGCCACACAAGCTCACAAAACTGGACCACCGAATGCTGAAGCACGTTAAAATCATCTGTCCTCAGTTGCAAAACTCACTGCCGAGTTCCAAATTGCATCTGGAAGCAACGTCAGCAAAATAACTGTTCGTCAGGAGCGTCATGAAATGGGTGTCCATGGCCGAGCAGCCGCACACAAACCTAAAATCACCATGTGCAATGCCAAGTGTCGGCTGGAATTGTGTAAAGCTCACCGCCATTGGACTCTGGAGCAGTGGAAACGCATTCTCTGTAGTGATGAATCCTGCTTCACCATCTGGCAGTCCGATGGACAAATCTGGGTTTGACGGATGCCAGGAGAATGCTACCTATCCCAATGCATAGTGCCAACTGTAACATTTGGTGGAGAAGGAATAATTTTCTGGGGCTGTTTTTCATGCTTCGGGCTAGGCCCCTTAGTTCCAGTGAAGGGAAATCTTAATGCTACAGCATACAATGACATTCTAGACGATTCTGTGCTTCCAACTTTGTGGAAACAGTTTGGGAAAGGCCCTTTCCTGTTTCAGCGATGTGGAAGAACTTGACTGGCCTGCACAGAGCCCTGACCTCAACCCCATCGAACACCTTTGGATTGAATTGGAACGCCAACTCCGAGCCAGGCCTAATCGACCCAAGATCAGTGCCCGACCTCACTAATGCTGAATGGAAGCAAGTCCCCGCAGCAATGTTCCAACATCTAGTGGAAAGCCTTCCAGAAGAGTGGAGACAGTTATAGCAGCAAAGGGGGGACCAACTCCATATTATTGCCCATGATTTTGGAATGAGATGTTCGACAGCAGGTGTCCACATACTTTTGTTCATGTGTTGTATGTGGTGCACTAGTTTATAGTGGCCTGGGCTGCCTATGGATAGGCCTTCTGGCCATCTATCCATTTAAATCAGTCAAATATCTTATACCATTTAATTAAAAAACGATGTATTTAAAATGTAAGAACCAGTAGAGAGTCTACTATATATTACAAACCTATTTCCAAACAGTATTAGGTTACTGTACAAAAAAAACACTTTCTGCCAGGCAGGGAGCAAACTTGGCCAAATGCGCACTGTGCAGTGTAGATGGGTTTGGAGACAGGAGCGGTGACGCGCTGCTGTAGATTCTTGCTTCAGCTGGCACCTTGTGCTTCAGCTTGGTTTCTGCCAGCCTCATTCAACCCATTGTCTCTCTTTCAATGTTACAATAAGGATCAGGGGATCAAGTCAATCGGTCGCCTTTATGGCCGATAACAGACTAAACGGCCCCGTCTTTTCTGAAAGACCAAAGCTGTGAAGTAGGCTAGCCTATCTCCTCTACTGCGTCTCGGAAGACAGGGGCGAGGGAGGGAGTGGGTGGCATGTGGATAATATGCAGAGTGAGATAGTGAGTGATACATTGTTTTAGGGATTAATCGGCTCAATCACAAACCGACCCATTGATAAGATAATGACGGGCTGTTATTCGGACCGGTGGGTGGAATGGATCCGGGGGCTGCTGCGCGCTCTATCTCTCCACTTCTCCGCCGCCAGACGGCTGTCTCTGTGCGCCATGGCGCTCGGTGTTGTCTTGCTAATAGGTCATTAACGGAGACTGGTCACTTCAGAGGGCGGCGGCTCTTTGATACTCACAACCCGAATGACAGGGAAGTCTCGAGGCGACCGTCTTCAGAGACAGAAATCGCGTTCAGTAGCTTCTCACAACTCCATGATGGGACACTATTAAATGTGAAATAGTTTATATAATGTAAAACAGTGATGTGGTTGATTGAAGGCCAGTTTTATAATTCAAGGCTTTTAGCGATACGACCGTTCAATAGCCTAATATTTGTGACTGTAATTTACATTTTAACACTTGGCCAATAGAAAGCCTATATCGTAGGCCAAGGGGATCAACACATTTTGAGCAAACAAATCAACAAAAACCCAATCAACAGAGCTGTCAGTCCTCTCATAAGTAGAGACAGATCCAATGAGACTGATAATTATTAGACAACAATGTCTATAATCTATTATAGGGATCAGGCAGATCAGCCATCGTTGTGTTATAGTAAGCCAATCAATCAAGCCTGGTCACCATTCAACTGATTAAAGACATATCTATCTTCAATGGTTGAATGACTTACAGTAGGCCTATACCCACATATATATATATTTTTTTTTTACAGTTTACTATAGAATACCACAGCACTTACTATAGAATGATGTAGTATACTGTAGAATACTATACTACACACTGTAGTAGGTTGTCTGTTGATCATGTGTAGTGCTTAGTATAGAATTTTGTAGTATACTGTAGAATACTTTAGTATATACTACAGCAGGGTTCTTCAATTCCGGTCCTGGAGGGCCGAAACACCTCTGTTTTTCATCCTCTCCTTCTAATCAGGGGCTAATTCAGACCTGGGACACCAGGTGAGTGCAATTAACTACCAGGTAGAAATAAAAAACAGAAGTGTTTCGGCCCTCCAGGACCGGAATTGAAGAACCTTGTACTACAGTATTATCCACTAAAAACAAAAACATACAAAATAAATAAAAACTATAGTAAATACTACAGTATTTAATGTGCATATACCCTGCCTATTCCCCTCCCTTATATCCCAATTTGTACCACCATAAGTGAGAAACATACACGCTAAGTATAGACCATATTGTGTTCCCTATTGTTATAGAAAAGAGCAGAAGTTCTGAACTCTCCATTCAAAACCCAGTCTTACCTACCTACCGACCGACCTACAGGTTATGGAACATTTGCTATTTTTGTATTTCTCCAGTAGGTTTCCTCAAGGAGAAAGCCCTCCACTTCTATGTCAAAGATAATAAAACAAAAAAACTTTAGTAAACACTACAGTAATGTCCCAAAAAACACTACAGTAAATACTACAGTCCGCAAAAACACTACAATAATTACTATAGTATATACTACAAGTTTTTTACTACAGTATTTATACTATAGTAAAATGTAAATACTACTGACTTCTTCAGTCCGCAAAAACACTACAGTGAATACTATAGTATTCCTACCGTAGTATACATTATAATATTTTTTTCATGTGGGTAGCATCAACAGGACAGATCATGGAATGTATGAAGTTATCCTAAAATTTAAAATTGTGAAATACACAAGAATAGGTGTTATTGGATGAGTTGATGACATTCATATTATTTTTATTCCATGGGTAGAGCCGAGGAGCAGGAGGAAAATCTTTAATGTTAAAGGAAGTGAATATACAATGTTATTTGAGAATACATGAACAGGATGAAGTAATGAGCTCTCTCACACACACACTTATACACACAGATGGGGCTATATTAAGAGCAGGATTGGGTGGGCTCAATTCGGAAGTACACTAAAATTACAAATCAATAATCGAAAAAAGGGCATTTATTTTCAATGACTTCTCAATAAACTGTAAAGTAGAAGCTATTTATTTAAAACATTATTTTAATTTCTGAATTCTAAAATAAAATCCCTTCCTGAAATTACTGCCTTCAATTCAAATTGAGCACAACCCTGATTGAGAGGGGAGGTGAGGACAGTAAGGATGTGACTGTGTGTGTTGGGGGGGGGGGGGCTCTCCAGACTCACTGGAGCCAGCGGGTAATGGCCTAATTCAGGCCGATTGAGACGCCTTAATTACTGCAGTTGTGAAAACTGAAGGAGGAAGGGAAGAAGCGAGGGAAGGATGTTTTCTTTGATCCTGGGCTGAGTGAGTTGTAAATGAGGAGGTGTGCCCTGCATAAATACTGACTCTACTCCTGAGACTCAGATCATTACTCCATTTATCAGGACAATGACCCACTGAGAGAGAACACACTCACACTCTTCACTGGACTTACCCAGCTGAGAAAACTTTGTCTGCATTTCTGGAACCCGAAGGATCAGATGCATTAGATTCTATCCATCCAAAAGGACACATTTTCCCACCCTAACAGGATTTTGGTTAATTTTGTTGGATATTTCCATCATCCAACCATGAGTGGACATTTCTCCATTGAGTGGCTGGCCCAGAGTAGTCAGGCATCGGGCAGCACGAGCCCCTCGCCTCCCTCCTCTTCTTGGACATCCGTTGCGGCTGGACCAACCAGCACCTCTGGGACCCACCCTGAGAGCTTGCCTGGGTTCTATTGCCGACCAAGACCTGAGAATCAGGAGAACCAGACAAAGAACCAGGCGAGGAGAGGACACAAGCTCATCCTACACAGCAATCCCAGCCTGGAAGGCTCTGAGACGGCTAAGAGGAGTAGCCCCCTCCACCACAACCACCAAGGTAGGTTCAGTCTCCCTCAAATCAACTCAGGATCTGAGTTTACAAGGGAAACATACATTCATTGAAATAGTGTTGTTTGTGGGTGTGTTTTGAGCTATGTGTTGATGGAATTAATAGAATTCTTAAGCAGTAGCTACATCTGATTTTGCTCTTATAGTGCTGAAAGCTCTATAGTTAGGACTCACCTCAGACTGAGTTGTTGTCTGGAGACATGATTGTGTTTGAAATGTTCAGAAAACACAAAGGTTTTGGAAACCACTATGATGTGGCATATGGATGGATTTGAAATCTCTTCTCCCTCTTCCTTCAGTAGTGGCTGAGACTGGCTTCATTAGTGGAACGGAGGGGGAAACGTCGGGGTACGAGAGTGAGGGTGGGCGCTCCCTCTCCCCAACCACCCCCCTGGACAGCACCTCAATCTTTACCTCCTCTTCTCCTCCAACGGGGAGGCGGCCACGTACAGCCTACACTGCGGAGCAGATCAACAGTCTGGAGAGGGCCTTCAAGAGGAACGCTTACCTGGGCACTCGGGACAAGGTCGAGCTCTGTAAGAAACTCAACCTCTCAGACAAACAGGTAGGCACCGCAGACAGACACATACACACAAATAGGCACTGTATTGCAATGGTTATCAATGGTTTCTTTGATCGCTGTGTCTCTAAAACGCCTGTCTGTTTCTCCTCAGATCCGTAACTGGTTCCAGAACAGGCGTATGAGGATGAAGAGGATGGTCCAGGACGCTCTGGCCCAAGCCTGCCAGGCTAAAGTAGCCTCTCACCTGCTGCACTATCCCAAGCTACATCCCTACAGCCCTTGCTCCTACCCCAACTACCAGCCCCACCATGCAGGAGCAGAGGGGGGCGCTGCCACCCCATACATCCACCCACACTACAGCTCCTCCACGGCCGGCCCAGCCCTGCCCATTCTCCCCCTGGACTCTTTCTACCAGTACTCCAGCCTCCCAGGCCTGGTGATGCCCACTACTGGGTCCTACCCACTGATTGGGGCCTACCAGCCTTACACTCACCAGTATTGAAACTTTTGGATGATATCTCAATAGTTTAAAGTGGGTTTAAGGAAACTATTTTAGACTAGTGAGATGTTTCCAAATAAATTTTTACTGGCTTCCACTTCTCTTCTAATGTATTGACAACTGAAAAAGCTGGTTAAAGCAGTGGTGAAATTGTGAAGTTTTCCACTCTGGGTAGAGAACAATAATTAATGTGTTCCTGCTCTCCTTTTTATTGTCATACTGTAATTGCTATTTAAGTATAAAATTGTTAATAGTTTTAATGGATCTGTTAAGTCATGTGGCTGCTGTATAATAAGTGTTGATAAAATGAACGTTTTTTTTCTTCTCAATTGCATTATAATCAGATAATCTCAGTTCCTCCACCAATTTATATATTTGTAAGTATTGTGGTCATTTCAAACACCTCAATAGATCCGACCAGTTAACAAATGGTTGAGGAGGGCCACCTAGAGCCTAACAAAGAACTTGTCATACTGTGTGGATGAATCAGTACGCAGCTAACTCACACAATCTGTAAAAGAGAGAAAGATGGTCCACACATTAATTTGTGGTGAAAAAATAAAATTGATTTTTCAGAACAAACACTTCACCCAACTGGACTTCATTAGTGTCCAATTTCACCCCCCAAATTCACAAGTGACAACCTGTCTCCATGGAATAAAAATGAAATAATCTCAGAACTACTGTATCGCTGAAGGTAAGCGAGGTGAAAGCTAACTAAGAAATATCAATCATATGACTAAAATAACATTGACACAGGTTCTGTTTAAAATATTTAACTTTTGTAAGTATAAAACACTTTTGGAGCTAAATCCAATCAACTCAAACTTTTTCAGAACATGACAAGAACTTCATTTGTTGGTCTATGTACAAAATGTACAAGTTTCTTGTCAGAGAAAACCTTTCCTTAAACACCCCACCTTCCAGCTTTAAAACAGTACAAACCAACACATACCTCAAAAACTACACATCTCCCTGGAAAGAGTACAACTACGGTTACAAAATTACCCAAACAAATACGCGAAACTAAATCAATATGGCTGCCCTTTCCTTCCTGGTGGTGTGTGAGGTCACGTCCTCTATGCAGTCTTCTGCTGGCCCTTCTTTCCAATCAGAGACTTGTGGATGTGAGGAATCACACCTGCAGGAGGGAGAGAAAGGGACATGCTATTGCTACACATTGGTAGGTGAAGAGGTGTTTGCCCCCATGTAAAACGCTTTGAGTTCCTGGAAGACCAATACATAAATCCAATCCAAGAGTTTAAAACTCACCTCCTCCAGCGATGGTGGCCTTGATGAGGGAGTCCAATTCCTCATCTCCGCGGATGGCCAACTGTAAGTGACGCGGAGTGATCCGCTTCACCTTCAGATCTTTGGAGGCGTTTCCTGCCAACTCCAACACCTGAGAGTGACACAACAATAGGCTGTCATTGCACGTTAGGGTAGGGTTGGAGCAAAAACCTACTTTTTTTAGTCATTTAGCAGACGCTCTTATCCAGAGCGACTTACAGGAGCAATTAGGGTTAAGTGACTTGCTAAAGGGCACATCGACAGATTTTTCACCTAGTCGGCTCGGGGATTAGAACCAGCAACCTTTCGGTTACTGGCACAACGCTCTTAACCACTAAGCTACCTGCCTAAGCTACCTGACCTTCGTCAGAGCCCTCAAAAAAAAAAAGGGTTAAATAAAAACATCTCACCTCAGCCGTGAGGTACTCCAAGATGGCGGCGCTGTAAACTGCTGCGGTGGCTCCCACTCTGCCGTGGCTGGTGGTCCGGGTCTTCAGGTGTCTGTGGATACGACCCACCGGGAACTACAACACACACACAGTCAGAAATGCTCTAGGTAGAAGTTGCCCATCTATCTGTGTTGCAGGATTCACTTGTGACTGATACAATAGAGAAAACCCAGGGAAGAGAAACTGAGGTACATGCCTGGAGTCCAGCCCTCTGGGAGCGAGAGACAGCCTTTGCCTTGGCTTTGCCACTGTCCTTTCCAGCTTTTCCTCCTGCCTGGAAAGTGACAATGGGATTCAGTGAAATGGCTGATGCATGAACCTGATTAAATGTGTTTTCTTTTACGTTTTTCTTCTCAAAGCAATGTGTAACTGTGACCAAGGTGAAAAAATGGTGTGGGTGTACAAAAGAAAAATGATCAATACACTGAAGATCTCTGTCATTTATTTTTGTAGACTAGTGGTTAAGAGCATTGGGCCAGTAACCGGAAGGTCTCTGGTTCGAATCCCTGAGCCGACTAGGTTAAAAATCTGTCGACGTGCCCTTGAGCAAGGCACTTAATAATTGTTCCTGTAAGTCACTCTGTATAAGAGCCTCTGCCAAATGACTAGCTAAAATGTAAATGTAACTTCAAGCAAACCGAAGTAACGTGCAACCGGTCATTACAGTAATCTGATTCATCACACACTTCTCTCCGCCAACTGAAAGATAAAGGACCATTTCCGATTGATAACTATGTAACTGGCAAACTGTCATTTAGGTTCTCGCTAAGTCGATTCATTACAATTTGGCAAACAAAAAGTCAAAATATGTCTTTCTATAGCTAACTACAATACAAATACGAAGGAAGAGTGGTTTTACAATAGTTAGCTCGCTAAAACTGAAATATATATTGCTAAGTTTGTAGCTAACTACCACAGGTAGTGTTAACGTTAGCTAACGTTACTGTAGTTAGCCAACAGTGCTAAGTAAGGTCAAGGACGTGGAAACTAGTTACCGTAGCTAGGTACTTCAATAAACAACCCAAACTTTGCGAACATCTTGGAATATTACATCAGAAAGAGATGGGACGTAACGTATATTAGATAAATATGTTTGAAAAACCATGAGAAGCAAGTCGCTTGTAAACCAGATGGCGTACATGTAGCTAGATGGCGCCCTTTCGTTAGTTTTCGAGTGTCCGTCGACGTCCTATTTCGCACACATCAAGCTTGCAGTCCTAAATACTAGTAGTTACTCTTACTAGCCAGTTTAGCATATCACTGCTAAAATGTCATGACATTTACGATCATCTGTCCTATAATACAGACAACGTGCATAAAACAATCAAAAACTCGTTACCATGTCGCTGGTGAGTTTTCCCTGTTGTATTTCCAAACGGAGAGAAACAATAAACCCGAAAAAAAAGCCAAGCAGATGAATGAAGGGGACTCCAGAGCCAACCAATAGCGTTTCTGTTTATTGGTTCGAACGGTCTCTTCAACCAATTGCAATCGTGTTTGCACAGCGTTTACTCATCTCTACAACTGGATTGGACGCTTTATGATAGTAGAAATGCCAGAGAAATAATACTGTGGTCTATGCTATTCGGAATACTTGGGGCCGTCCCTACCGTTCTTAATATGATAATATACACTATATACAAAAGTATTTGGACACCCCTTCAAATTAGTGGATTCGGCTATTTCAGCCACACCCGTTGCTGACAGGTGTACAGAATCGAGCACACAGCCATGAAATGGTACCGTAATAGCATGCCACCTTTCCAACAAGTCAGTTCGTCACATTTCTGCTCTGCTAGAGCTGCCCTGGTCAACTGTAAGTGCTGTTATTGTGAAGTGGAAATGTCTAGGTGCAACAACGGCTCAGCCGCGAAATAGTAGGCCACACAAGCTCACAGAATGGGACCACCGAGTGCTGAAACGCATAGCGAGTAAAAATCGTCTGTCCTCGGTTGCAACACTCACTACCGAGTTCCAAACTGCCTCTGGAAGCAACATCAGCACAAGAACTTCGCATTGTCACTCTATTCTCCTCTCACTTGTTCACCTTTGATGCTGCCAGACCTGGGTCAAATACTTGAGCGCTGTAATTTAGTTTGGCTGGCACAATGGAAGCAATAGAAACGTGACAAAAGTACCCAAAAGTGCAAACTCCAAGCTAGTAAATGTAGTGCCCCTCAACCAGTCTACTTTACAGTATTTGATATGTATTTGACCCAGGTTATCTGCCAGTAGATTGAAAGACCTGGACCTTGATGTTTGCAGGCTAGGCACTCTGTCGGCTGCTGTCCTTTCACCTGGGGCATATTCAGGAGGATGCAACGTTACAAATTGTTTACTCTAATCTTATCTACTTGAAGAATCACGAATCACTTGAACATGGGTCTCTGATTCAGAGGCAAGCACCTTACCAAAGATCGCTACACTATATACCCAGAGAGAAGCATGTCTGTATTCCTCTATCTGAACTTTCTGTAGCATAATGCCCTCCTGGGAAAGCCCCTGGATCGCCCCTATTCCATGTGAGAGAAGCCCATCCCAGTCAGGACTCCTCAGTGGTGGAACGAATCTCCCCCTGCTGTCAGTGCAGCTGTGGTGAGCTGGGATTTGACATGGGTTGGAACTGGATTGGTGGGCATAACAAAACAGGGCACCTCCGTAGGAAATGAAATATCAATGTGGTTTGAGCACCCCCATGATTCTTTAACTGCATAAAACACGAGGCGGAACAACATCTGAAGGGGAACAGAATTTAACATTATTATATTATTATTAACACAACACAGGATTTTTTCAAAAACTGGATTAAATGTTGTTTTTTTAGACTGGGCCCTGGGTTCGAGTCTCAACCAATCCACACACTGAATTCGCTACATTGGTGTCAGAAGTGAGATAGTGAAGGAGGGGTATATAGTGTAGTGATCTTTGGTAAGGTGCTTGCCTCTGAATCAGAACCCCTCTGAATTCGCTACAACACTGTCTGACTGATCGGTGGGTGTGATGGGCACCACTGTGGTGGAATTAATAGCAACATCAAATATTCACATTCATATCTGGGTGACAGGGAAAATATCAGGAGTTACATGGCTAAGTATTTTAGTACCATAGTAGCCTACTTGAGGAAATTAGGTTTATGAAAAGGTGCAAGGTTAAATGTATTAATCTCAGTGTAAATAATTGCTCTTTTGTGACATTGTAAAATGACTCACTGTACAGTATAACTGTAACAGTTATGACACAAGGAGTTGCTTTTATTACTGCTTTTATGTCTGTAGTATTCCCTAGTGTTCAATTTAACGCTTGCCCAGTTTTGCCTTAAATGCCATAGCAACTGCACAGAAAGGGATCTGCTACAATTTATTGGCACTCCATAGTAAAAATTGTTCTAACAATATTGTGGCCCGTTGATTGGACGGTGATATGATAGAGCTTGGATCCCGATGTCCAGTAGGACGAGGTCTACGATAATTACGTCAACAGAACCTACATCTAAACCAATGACATATAGGAATGTTAAAATATAGGCGTGATAGCCAGCGGAAAACGACCAATGAGGAAACTCAAACTCGTTGAGCCTGTCGTGATTGGCAGACCCAAGGCCAATGCGGGAGCGCTCGGGGTAGGTTTTGGTGGTGACCATGAAGAGGGTGTGCACACGGAGAGGGAGATACGCACAAGAGGGAGAAGCTGGCTGGTGGTGCTGAAGATGGCGGATGGTGACAGTGGGAGTGAGCGCGGTGGGAGCAGCGGCGGAGGGGGAGGTGGGAGCGGGTTCCAGCCCTTCCAGAGAGAGCAGGAGACGCAGGAGCTGGCGTCCAAGCGGCTGGACATCCAGAACAAGCGCTTCTACCTGGACGTCAAGCAAAACAACAAGGGCAGGTTCATCAAAATCGCCGAGGTGGGGGCCGGGGGCTCCAAAAGTCGCCTGACCCTGTCCATGTCAGTTGCGGCGGAGTTTCGCGATTACCTGGGGGATTTCATAGAACACTACGCCCAACTGGGGCCTAGCAGCCCGGAGCAGATCGCCCAGTCCTCGGTCGGAGAGGACGGCGGGCCCAGGCGAGCCCTGAAGAGCGAGTTCTTGGTCCGGGAGAACCGTAAATACTACCTCGATCTGAAGGAGAACCAGCGGGGGAGGTTCCTGCGGATCCGACAGACCGTCAACCGAGGGCCCGGGTTCGGAGTAGGTGGGCCGGGAGGAGGCATGCAGGCCGGCCAGACCATAGCCCTTCCGGCCCAAGGCTTAATAGAGTTTAGAGACGCCCTTGCAAAGCTTGTAGATGATTATGGTGGAGACGAAGAGGAATTGGCCTGTGGAACAGCGGTTGGGGGCTATGGGGAGCTTCCTGAGGGCACATCCATCATGGTGGACTCTAAACGGTTCTTTTTCGACGTCGGGTCCAACAAATACGGCGTGTTCCTGCGAGTGAGCGAGGTCAAACCGAGCTACAGGAACTCTATCACCATCCCGTTCAAAGCGTGGGGAAAGTTCGGAGGGGCTTTCAGCCGCTATGCCGAGGAAATGAAAGAGATCCAGGAGCGACAGCGGGATAAAATGTACGAGAGGAAAGAGGAATCGGAGGGAGAGGAGGTGGATGATGACTGAGTAGTTGAAACAGCTGATAGAATTCAGTTCACACAGTGAGATCTGCAATATTATATGTGGCAGAAATGACAGATTTAAGTGCATGATGAATCGAACTTTAATACAAAAAAATATCGTGGCATAAAAAGTACGTTTGAAATGGGAACCATTGTTGATGTATTATTAAAACCTGGAGTTTGTTAATGAAAGTTATGGGGCGAAGAGTGTCTAAATGAAACCTTTCTCATGGGTTAAAGAAATTTATGTTTTGTAAAAAAAATTGAGAAATATCCCTAAAACCAGCAACTTGGTTTTCATAACAGTTTAAGAAGCCAATGAAATCTTTATAATAAATGTTTCCTTTAAAATATAGATATATATTTAAAAGAGTAAGGAGTTGACCCCATTTAATGTAGCTATTATTTCCATTGCTCCTTGTAAGGAGAGAACCAGCATCCATTGTATCCCTGTTCTAGGTCTCTCCTATGTGGTCAGTGTGTGTGGTATCCTTACAAGTTAGTGAAAGTAGTAGGAAAGAATGTCTAGAATAATTGTCATTTTTTTCTGGAGGTTTATATTTGGTGTTAATTGATGGAGGTGGGGAAAGCTATATAACATGGGCTGTGCCAAAGCAGGCCCCTTAACAGACGATTATGATGATAAACGTTACAGAGATAACTATATCTGCAGGCTTATCTGAAGGCCTTGGAGACTAAATTGGAGACTTGTGCTAACATAGTTAGCTCACAGTATCATGTCATCCTCCAAACAAATAGGCCTAAACATGGTAGATGAGTGAATGGTTGTCTATTTTTATTTTTTATAAACATGTAAATGCCTGACAATATTTACTAGGTCTGTTTCCTGGGACTTATTTTATTTGTAAGTAACTTATATTATCTTGTAAGATTCTGTCAGAGGGGAACAGAGCAGTGTGCCATCTCCCACAGCAATGTGGCCTGGTATCAAGAGAGTGGCAGGCCTATTAACCAATCGGCAACCAGAAAGGACAGTCTCTTCCTGCTGCTTCCCAGTTCGGAACAGTTTGTGCATATATTATGCCAATATTTTGACGTTTTTGTACGTTTGGTCTTCGGCTGTTTGTGCACAATTTTCTCTCGAATGCAAGCCGAAGTCAGTAGCTGAAGTCTACGCCCCTTTCGACGGATTGGTCAAAAGTATGCACATTTTTTCACTTGAGAAATACTGATGTAAAAAGATCTCCTCTGCAAAAACATCCAAACGAATGACATATTTCTTGAGTTATATTAGAAAAAATTTAGTGTGCACGAACAGCCGGAAAAACCCTTGCCGAAGACCAAAACGAAGAAAAACGTCACACAAGTTGTCATAATATATGCGCAAACTATTCCGAACTGTTTTGGATGGGAAGCATGCGGATGCCTTTACCCACACACCGACACTGTGCCCCAGAGGAGCTACTACAACTGTCACCCAGCCAGCCAAGAGTGTGTGGGGCATCAAGGATAAGGTACCAACACTGTCTCAGAGCCCAGGTATCAGCACCGCCACACCACTGACGCCTCTGGACCGTAACAATTGGATGAATGGTTTCCTTTTTATTTAGAAAGAGAACTATATTGAAAGAAGATTATACTTCTAAGTGAGAAGATTTAAAAAAAAAACCTAGCATACAATATTTTTTACCTTATCTTAAAATACCTTGAAAAGTATATGAATTATAGATGTGTAACGCAGGCTTATGAAACAGCTGGGATGCGACCGAATTGTCCATGTTTTTTTCTTTGTTTATTCTCACTTTAATTTGTTGCTTTTCTCCCAGAGAGTGAAATAAATAACACTTCTGTGATTAAAAAAATAATAATTAATGCAATAGATATTGTGATTGTATACTTTAGAAAACCCTTTCTCTACCTCGTCTCCACTCCAACACAACCAGTAGCTGCTAAAAAGGAGTTCAAAGTTCTCCATTTTAACTTACTCTTCTTAGGTTGAAACAGGCGGGCACTTCATCCTCTCAAGTGTTCCTTTAAGTATTAGATTTTCGGCTCCTACACATCTATCAAACTACAGCCAGTTGAAATAATTGTCACAGTGTGTAGTCCCAGTTGGTCTCTGTTACTCGTAGTTGTTCCCGATTTAACATGTAGAATCAGCCAAGGGAAATGCATCACCGGACGTTTGTTGGCTGTGGACTAGTTGGATAGATGGGTAGGAGCCTTCATGTTACACATTCTAAACATTCTGAAGTCGCCTTCTGTTTAACTTATGCCATATTCTCCTTTAATTATGTTGTCATCAAGGCAATTAGGTTTTATTTTTGTAATTGGAAAAGACTACTAAATGATGTACTGTAAGTACATGGAAAAGCAAACTCAAAGCACTGCCTGACATTCTCGGCTCAATTGAATTAAGTATTTAACTTACCTAGTAATCCAATTGCTTCATGATGCTAAGAATGTGTGTATGGATTCTTTGCCACTTTTTGTTGTTGCACTTTGAGATACCAAACACAGATACCAAACACAATGTCGTGTTATGTATTAGTTTCACAGCCAATTTAGTGGAGATGTGGTCTCCAGTCTTCTCCCCAGCAGAATCTCAGTAGTGACACAGCAGCTGTCGTAGACGTGTGCTCTGCTCTAGCACCATATCAATACCGTATTATTTTCATCAGTCAATGAAAGAGCTCTTAGGAAAACAGACTCACATCTCCAGCCTAAACATTCACCTCAACACAGCACAAGGTAAATGTCTCAATCATACAGTAGAAATAGGAATTAGAATGCATATCTTTCTGGTTTTGATCAACACTAAATAAATGTGTGTTTGAGATACACAGATTCTGCTTAGATACAGTGGGGGGAAAAAAGTTTTTAGTCAGCCACCAATTGTGCAAGTTCTCCCACTTAAAAAGATGAGAGAGGCCTGTAATTCTCATCATAGGTACACATTAACTATGACAGACAAAATGAGAAAAAAAACCCAGAAAATCACATTGTAGGATTTTTAATGAATTTCTTTGCAAATTATGGTGGAAAATGAGTATTTGGTCAATTACAAAAGTTTCTCAATACTTTGTTATATACCCTTTGTTGGCAATGACACAGGTCAAACGTTTTCTGTAAGTCTTCACAAGGTTTTCACACACTGTTGCTGGTATTTTGGCCCATTCCTCCATGCAGATCTTCTCTAGAGCAGTGATGTTTTGGGGCTGTCGCTGGGCAACACGGACTTTCAACTCCCTCCAAAGATTTTCTATGGGGTTGAGATCTGGAGACTGGCTAGGCCACTCCAGGACCTTGAAATGCTTCTTACGAAGCCACTCCTTCGTTGCCCGGGCGGTGTGTTTGGGATCATTGTCATGCTGAAAGTCCCAGCCACGTTTCATCTTCAATGCCCTTGCTGATGGAAGGAGGTTTTCACTCAAAATCTCACGATACATGGTCCCATTCATTCTTTCCTTTACACGGATCAGTCATCCTGGTCCCTTTGCAGAAAAACAGCCCCAAAGCATGATGTTCCCACCCCCATGCTTCACAGTAGGTATGGTGTTCTTTGGATGCAACTCAGCATTCTTTGTCCTCCAAACACGACGAGTTGAGTTTTTACCAAAAAGTTATATTTTGGTTTCATCTGACCATATGACATTCTCCCAATCCTCTTCTGGATCATCCAAATGCACTCTAGCAAACTTCAGACGGGCCTGGACATGTACTGGCTTAAGCAGGGTGACACGTCTGGCACTGCAGGATTTGAGTCCCTGGCGGCGTAGTGTGTTACTGATGGTAGGCTTTGTTACTTTGGTCCCAGCCCTCTGCAGGTCATTCACTAGGTCCCCCCGTGTGGTTCTGGGATTTTTGCTCACCGTTCTTGTGATCATTTTGACCCCACGGGGTGAGATCTTGCGTGGAGCCCCAGATCGAGGGAGATTATCAGTGGTCTTGTATGTCTTCCATTTCCTAATAATTGCTCCCAGAGTTGATTTCTTCAAACCAAGCTGCTTACCTATTGCAGATTCAGTCTTCCCAGCCTGGTGCAGGTCTACAATTTTGTTTCTGGTGTCCTTTGACAGCTCTTTGGTCTTGGCCATAGGGGAGTTTGGAGTGTGACTGTTTGAGGTTGTGGACAGGTGTCTTTTATACTGATAACAAGTTCAAACAGGTGCCATTAATACAGGTAACGAGTGGAGGACAGAGGAGCCTCTTAAATAAGAAGTTACAGGTCTGTGAGAGCCAGAAATCTTGCTTGTTTGTAGGTGACCAAATACTTATTTTCCACCATAATTTGCAAATAAATTCATAAAAAATCCTACAATGTGATTTTCTGGAGAAAAAAATCTCAATTTGTCTGTCATAGTTGACGTGTACCTATGATGAAAATTACAGGCCTCTCTCATCTTTTTAAGTGGGAGAACTTGCACAATTGGTGGCTGACTAAATACTTTTTTCCCCCACTGTAGGTCTGCACTGATGATAGGATCATTATCAACAGCAAAGTATCTGTTGATTTGTATAATCTATGTACCTCGAACAAGTATGCCTCCATCAGACCAAATTAAACTAGGGATTGCATGCTTGAGTAGAGTTGTCCTTAACCACAGGTCTCGGATCAGAGTACCTTACCCCAAATCCCACACACTTACCCCACCAGACATGCCACCATGGGTCTTTTCACACACTCCAAATCCCACACACTTACCCCACCAGACATGCCACCAGGGGTCTTTTCACACTCCCCAAATTCCCCATTCCCTTCCATCTCATATTGCTCAAATGAACAACAAACCTGGTTAAAAAACCTCAGATAAAGCAACACCTCACGGCACAATGCCTCTCCCCTATTTGACCTAGATAGTTTGTGTGTATGTATTGATATGTAAGCTATGTGTGCCGTTTTTAAAATGTATGTAGTTCTGTCCTTGAGCTGTTCTTGTCTATTAATGTTCTGTATTATGTCATGTTTCATGTTTTGTGTGGACCCCAGGAAGAGTAGCTGCTGCTTTTGCAACGGGTAATGGGGATAGTAATAAAATACCA